TTAGAACGAATTTCGTTAAATTTGAAACATAGTTAGATATAAAGGCGTATGGTGTGATAGGCTATATTGTTTTCCAAAACTTGGATAAGAAGGGACAAGATGGGCTATGTGGATGAAAAAGGGACAAAATTGGTACTTTTGGGAGTTAATACTAATTATTGTCTATACTTAAGCAAAAACATTTCTGATTAAGCTTTAAAAGTGTCTGAAATATTATTATTACTAGCTATACCCAGTGTGCTTTGCTACCCTAAAAGCAATATGTATAAATAAAAACCCACTTAACGATTTTGAAGATTCTAACTACAATAGTTTTCCAGATTTACAATATGTTACATATGAGAGATGTCAAGCAAATTATTGCAAGTTCGCCTGTTTCTATCTATCGCCAATTTCTATCTATCTATGAAAATTTTGATGAATATAAGAGTTTCCAAGATACACGAAATTTTGTAATTAATTCATATATGTGGTGCCAAGCCACCCATTGAAAGTCCGCCCGTAATTCTCCTAATGTTCCCATGAATGTCAGAGTTCTTCATGTAAAATTTTAACATTCTAGCTCTAATATTTTCTCAGTGGGGGCTTCAAGCTCCCCAGATGAAAGCCCGCACTTTTTCCCCAAAACGTTCAGATGAATATTAAAATAATTTCTGCAAAATTTTAAGAATCAAGTTCTATTAGTTTCCCAAACAAACGAAATTTTATATTTAATTCATATGGGAGGTGCAAAGTTCCCCTTTGAGAGTACGCCCATTATACTCTAAATGTTCAGATGAATGTCAAAAGTCTTCAAGTAAAATTTGAAGATTCTCTCTCTAATAGTTTATCGGATATACGATTTTTTCTATTTAATGAAAGTCCGCTTGTTTTCCTCCAAAATGTTCAGATGAATATTTAAGTTCTTCGTGCAAAATTTGAAGAATTTAGTTCCATTAGTTCCCAGATAAACGAATTTTTGTATATAATTAATATTGGAGGTTGCGCTCCCCTCATGGGTAGTTTATTACCCAAAATGTTTAAATGGATGTTAAAGTTATTCGTACAAAATTTTAAGATTCTAACTGTAATAGTTTCCAAGATAAACGAATTTTTGTATTTGATATATATGGGAAGTGCCACGCCGCCTAATGCTAGTCCGCCTACTTTTTGTCCTAAATAATCATATTGACACTAAAGTGGCTTCGATAAAATTTGAGGGCTCTAACTGTTATATTATCTCAAATATACGCATTTCATATTTTCTTAATATGGGCGTGGCACCCCGCCCAGTTGGACTTATATGGGAGCTATGAATAATGAACCGATCCGAAAAAAATTTGGTAGAATGATTATTTATCAATGAAATATGTGCGTTTATGTGATTTTCGAAAGTGGGCTTTTTATTAGAGCTATGGCCAATTGTGGACCGACTGAGATCTACGTTGGTAGTATGATTTCTGTTCATTTTATATATGCATGTGCAAAATTTTGTGTTGATACCGATATATTTGAGGGAGTTATTAACGATAAACTAATTTCCGGGAAAATAACCTTTGTTTTGGGGGATATGGGAAATATGTTATGAGTTTCAGCATATGTCAGAAAAAAACAAGTAAGAGTGTTATATTCGGCTATGCCGAATCTTATATACCCACCATCAATCCTCGTTTGACTCGAATTAAACTTACTTATGTCGAATCATCTATATACTCGTATTTTTTAGGCCAGTTATAAGCGTTAAAGTCATTTTCAGAAGGGGACCTTATATGGGGGATAGGGTCATTTATGGGCCGATCTTAAAAAAAATTCATAGAGCGATTTTGGTTCGTAAGAAACTTACTTATACCGAATTTCATCGCTATACTCGCATTTTTGGACCAGTAATGAGTGTTAAAGTAATTTTCTAAAGGGGACCTTGTATGGGGGGTAGGGTCAATTATGGACCGATCCTCAAAAAATTTGGTAGAAAGTTTTGGGCTTACATGAAACTTATTTATGTCGAATTTCATCGCTATACATGCATTTTGGGGCCAGTAATGAGTGTTAAAGTAATTTTCAGGAGTGTACCTTATATGGGGGGTAGGGTCATTTATGGGCCGATCCTAAAAAAATTGGTTAAAAATGAGTGTTAAAGTCATTTTCAGGAGTGGACCTTATATGGGGGGTAGGGTCATTTATGGGCCGATCCTAAAAAAATTTATTAAAAGGTTTTGGTTCGTAAGAAACTTACTTATACTGAATTTCATTGCTATACTCGAATTTTTGGGCTAGTAATGAGTGTTAAAGTCATTTTCTAAAGGGGACCTTACATGGGGGGTAGGGTCATTTATGGGCCGATCCTAAAAAAAATTTGTAGAGAGATTTTGGTTCGTAAGAAACATACTTATACCGAATTTCATCGCTATACTTGCATTTTGGGACCAGTAATGAGTGTTAAAGTAATTTTCAGAAAGGGACCTTATATGGGGGGTAGGGTCATTTATGGGCCGATCCTCAAAAAATTAGATAGAAAGATTTTGGCTCATATGAAACTTATTTATGTCGAATTTCATTGCTATACTTGTACTTTTAAAGCAGTTATGCCCGTTAAAGCTGTTTTTTGGAGGTCCACTTGTATGGGGGCAATCCGAAAAAGTGGGCCGATATTGCCCATTTTCAATACCAAACAAACCTTAACAATAGAGAATATTTATGCAAAATTTCAACCGTCTAGCTCCTCTCGTGTGGTCTCTATCGTGATTTCAACAGACAGACGGACGGACATGGCTAGATCGTCTTAGAATTTAATAAGGAGCCGAAATATATATATACTTTTATGGGTCTATGACCAATATTTCGATGTGTTACAAACGGAATGACAAAATCAATATACCCCCCATCTTTTTTGATGGTGGGTATAAAAATTGTGTGACTAAATTCATCGAAATATCTTTGGTAGTTTCTGTCAAAACTACTTAAGAATTGGGGAAAAAACTTAATTTTTTTCGAGGTAGTCTGAAATTTTTACTCATAACTTTTTCTTTTTACTTTTTTTGCTCATGTTATTTCCAAGTATTAATTGACAGTGACCAGTAAACCCTTACTACTGATGTTAAGGAATCCATTCTTCAATTTTAACTAATTTTCCTGAAGTATTTTGTAATTTTAGTACATAAAAAGTTTTTTTGTTATTGAAAAAAAGTTTTTTTCTTAAAAATATTAGAGCGCACAACAGGCCCGATAGTGGCCTAAGTGTATTTCTTCGGATTTGATGTAGTATACATCCTCCTATCAACCTAACCTAACCTAAAAATAAAAAGTTTTTTTCAAAAAATATATGACAATCCTGGCCACACGTTACAATTTTAATCAAAATTTGTGTATATACATATATATATACATATATGTTTTTATGCTTCATCGGCTTCAATGATTATATGATTATGGTACTAACACACATGCAAATTGTGATCAAAATTTTGGCCATTACAGCTGTCGATATCGATTTTGCTCAGATGGGTCTTATTTTGTATATTTATCGGATAACGGTAAAAGAGTAAAATCGTTTAAATAATAGGGCTTTTTTGGTATCGCCAAAATTGTGCCATCAAAATTAATTTTTCTTAACATTTAATTATTAAATTATCATCTAGAGAAAGTTATCTATCCAATGACGTATAAAACATTTATCAAAGGACAAACAATAAAGTTATTGACAATTTCCCAGCCATTTATTAAAACAATCATACATTTTCTGCCTCGTTTGGTCTTCGTTTTGTATGCAGAAGTGATGTAAATAGAAATATCTAAAAACAAGTAAGAATGCTATATTCGGCGATGCCGAATCTTTTATACCCTTCACCATAGTGTATTTAAAAAATATAAATTTTATAAAATTTTAATTTATTTCATTTTCCTGACTATATCATTATTATAGCAATAGCAAAACATAATGAACAACAACAACACAAAACGAAAAAAACAAAATACACAACGCAATGAAACCAACAGACATCCAAACATACACCAGGCAATGAAACAAACAGCCATCCAAACATACGAAACGAAATACTCTAAAAAAACAAAATACACAACGCAATGAATAAGCAGTGTTGTTGTTGCTTATTTTTTATGAAATTTTCAGAGGTTGTCTCGGATTTTTGTTTATATTTCCGTTGTTTATGGACGAATTTTGCTGATTTTAAATAGGAAACTTCTCGAAAGCATGTCTGATAGAATTATTGAAGTTTTGAATCCCGATGATATCTGGGGTCTTCAGTAAACTGATTTCAACAGACAGACGGACATGGCTTAATCGACTCCGCTATCTATAAGGATTCAGAATATATATACTTTATAGGGTCGGAAAGTTATATTTTGGAAATTACAAACGGAATGACAAACTTATATACATATACCCTTCTCACGAAGGTGAAGGGTATAAAAACGAGTAAAATAATTATTTTATATTATTTTATTATATATTATTATATTATTTTATAATAATACATAATAATAATATTTAGATGTTTCTGCAACATATTTGTAACAAGGAAATGCCTATAACTTTGTTATTTGTCGCTCGACATTAATATTTTATACCTTGTTGGAATGATCATTTTCTTTAGAATATAAAACGTTGTCGAAATTTTAAGAAACTAAAATTTTAATGGCACAATTTTTGACGAATTTAAAAAATGTCCTATTATTTAACCAATTTTATACTTCTCAATCGATTTCCAGCACGGGTTGCCGTTATCCGATTTTGCTAAAATTTTGCACCAGTTAATTTTAGATACTAATAAGCAAAATAAGACTGAGCAAAAGCGATATTTTTTGGACACCTCTAGTGGCCATACAGCTTTACACATATCATATACAAAATCAGGAAGTATTAGTCTGCCAATAGGCTCTTAATCGACAAATCTTGCAACAATGGCTATAACTGCACATTTTCACTATTAAAAATTAATTTGATCAACATTTATTTTGACCCACCATAATGAATAATCTTAAACAACGCCTTTATCCCTTTTCAGATTCCGAAAATTTGAAAAACAGTAAACTTTCGATTAATAATCTATTTATCATTATATCAAAAAAAATTTGACTTTCTACTGATAGCAGTTGTCGCAAACAACATGTTCATCAATGAGAATAAATGAGTTTTAAAGTAATTGTCGCACAAATTATGATACAATTACAAGTAAATAGTCAAATGAAAGAAAGTGGTGGTTTTCGATCTAATAGAGACATTTACCAAGCAAGTTCAAAATACAGCAATATGATACCGAAAACCCCAACAGATTTTATTGATAACAATCAGTTACATCATCATAAAACTAACAAACAACAAGAAGAACATATTGCAGAAACCTCAATGGACGATTATAATGACAATCAAAAATTTGTATATAGAGAGATTGGCGTGGAGGATGGAGTTAATAATAATTGCAAAGGTATTGAAAAGCAGATAGATAAAGAAAAGTATTTGAAAATATATTATTGTAACGGCAATGGTGACAATAACAATAATACAACATTCCCCGGCATTACAAATATTGATGGAGATTACAGTAGCTACGAAGCCCAAATACAAGCTGGATCAATTAATAGTTCATTATATGAAAGTCTAAAAATCCAAAATCTGCACACACGATTAGATGGCAGTAGTCCATATAAACAATTAACATTTGAAATATATAATCAGTATCCATTACTCATCAACAACAATAAGAAGACAAGTAAGATATTTGAGGTCATATTTCGTATGTAAAAGATTTCTTTAACAGCAGTAGAATTCATTCAAAATTCTCTTTTTGTAGGTATAAAATTGTCCAAGAACTACATAAGTAGAGTATATTACTATACTGTTGTAAGAACGTTTCACAATTTAATGTACATATATTGAAGTAGTGAATACGGAAACAATTCATTTCTTTACTACATTCAATATTAGCGCTTCAAACAAGAAATTTTCAAAAGGATTTTTTTCCTGTAAATAGTTCTGCTACAAAATTTTGTTTTTTTCAGAAATAAATCCCAAAATAATAATCTAGAGCAAGGCATAAGCAAGAATTGTTTTCTACGTTCCGTGACGAATCAGTTGATTCATGTTTTTCATACAAAAACCTAACGGCAATCTCGTTGCCGAACTAACGACTTACACTGGTTTCCGTAAGCCAAAAACGAATCAGTTGATCCATCACGGTACGAAACGTAGAAACTAATTGAGCTCATACACTTTACAAAAAAGATTTCTGTAAACAGCAGTAGAATTCATTTAAAATTCTAATTTTTGTAGGTATAAAATTGTTCGAGAACTATATATGTTGTATTAACGTTTCACAAATTAATGTATAGTGAAGTACTGAATAGGGTAACAATTGATTTCTTTACTACATTCAATATTAGCCCTTCTAATATGAAATTTTCATGAAGATTGTTCTGCTACAAAATTTTGTATTTTTTTTCAGAAATAAGTCCCAAAATAAACGATTCATAATGATCTAGAGCAAGACATAAGTAAGAATTAGTTTCTACGTTCTGTTCCGTCACGAATCAGTTGATTCATGTCTTTCATACAAAAATCGACTTTTGCAAATAAAAATCGAAAAATGTCGGGAAAAGTCGAAAAATGTCCAAAAATCGTTAAAATTTAACTAATAACTATCTGGTTTAACTATTTTATTACAAAAACATTTTTTGAACTACAGAATCGTAAGCAAAGAGTACTGCTTTATTATGTCCTGGTTTACAGTGGACAATTTTACTTGCGCAAGTTTTTGGATTTGTGGAAGAGAGAGGAGAGAAGAATGACGTCACCATCTCGCAACTCATTCTAGAATTTTCAAATTATTCATCGAAGGGACACATTTGAAATCTCTATTTCTATTCAATTCATTGTATTTATGTGGAAGGTTTTAATTAATAATATGAATCTTTAACTTTAATAATGAAATGAAATTAACCATTACTTCAGTAAACATATTTCATAAATTCAAAGAAACGTTTTCTTATTACTAATAATTTTACTACAATATTGTCATGCATAACGTAGAATGTTAATGCCATGACTTAGTTGCAATAGTCGAATGAAATTATTTCATATATTATAAACCATTAATAATAATGTTTTATTTATTTGTATAAACAGAGTGTGTTTGAAGCTTGTATGAAGGAAAAAAAATTGTTTGAAAGGCCGCCCCCCCCCCCCCCTAGAATTGTTCTATGGGTTGTAAAACTATGTCATACAAAAATTTAGGCTGATTGAATAACGTTAACAGGTGCCGCAACGGCTCTGAAGTTTTTAAGTGCATTTACAAGGGGAAAATATCGATTTTTTTCAGTTTTTGCTCAAATTTGGCCATTTAGTAATAAAGATATAAAACACAAAAATTGCTGGAAAACTTTAAAAGTTTTTGCAAATTCCCCAGGCCATTAACGTGTTTCACAGCACATAAATTGGAAACGTGACAAAAAAATTTACTTTTTTTGGGATATATTCTAAAAAATAATTTTGTTACTTAAAATATATCTATAATTACTCTAATATTAGTTTTTGCCCTTATAAGATAACGCAATCTTCTTCTAAGCTATGGTCAAAAAAAGTTTGATTTTTTCAACGGCCGTTTCAAATCTCCAATTTTAGTTTTTTTGAAACTTTGTTAAACAAATTTCAAAATCTTTAGGAGATCTCATGGGGATTTATGGTCAATAGATAAGGCTATTAAACGGTAAAAATATTAGATCAATATTTCTTACAGTTTAGCTGTACCTGCGATTTGAACTCGGCGGATTTCGGGAAAATCGCATTTTTTGTAAAATTTCAGAGAATACGTATTAATTCTTTACTGTTGCACATTTTACATAAAGTATTATCAGAGTATTATAGTCCAGATAATATAAAATATATATCCGAAGTTTTATTTAAATCGGACATTCTTAACCCATAAACTGTGGAGTTCAAAGGTCATGTTTTGCAATATTTGGGAATTTTTAGTGTACCATTTCGAAATAATATTTATTTGTCGGCCATCTTTACCAAAAATGACTGGAATTTATCGTATATAGTCCGATATTTAATAGAGTGATTAAAAGGTAGATTAACCCTTTAAGGCACTTGGGAATAATTTAACACCAAAGTTTAAAAATTCAAAAAAAAAAAAAAAACACTACCTATTTGAATAGTGCTATATATAATTAGAGGAATAACAGAAATAAAACAAAAAATTGTATATTAAATCTAAAAAATTATACTTTAACGCTTTTTGACTATGGAGTAAACTTGAGGTGCACATTTTTAAAAGAAAAATTTTGTTTCTAAAACTGATAATTTACATAATCCTCTTTTAGGGTCGATTTTGAATCTTATATGTCTAAACATACAAACTTTATATGGTCAAAAAGGGTTAATTCATAAGTTTTTATACTTAATACAGAATTTTTGTATTATTTATGTTATTCCTTTAGTTATATAGAGCATTATTCAAATGGAGAGTGTTTTTTTTTGATTTTTTTAACTTTGGTTTTAAATTGTTCCCAAGTGCCTTAAAGGGTTAATCTAACTTTTATCACTCTATTTTAAATATCGGACTATATACGATAAATTCCAGTCATTTTTGGTAAAGATGGCCGACAAATAAATAGTATTTCGATATGGTACACTAAGAATTCCCAAATATTGCAAAATTTGACCTTTGAACTCTACAGTTTATGGGTTAAGAATGTCCGATTTTAATAAAACTTCGGATATATATTTATTTAAAATATGCATCAGTAAAGAATTCATAAGTATTCTCTAAAATATCACAAAAAAATGCGATTTTCCCGAAATCCGCCGAGTTCAAATCGCAGGTACAGCTAAACTGTAAGAAATATTGATCTAGCTTTTTTATTGTTTAATAGCCTTATATATTGACTATAAATCCCCATGAGATCTCCTAAAAATTTTAAAATTTGTTTAACAAAGATTCCAAAAAATTGAAATTGGAGATTTGAAACGGCCGTTGAAAAAATCAAACTTTTTTGATCATAGCTTAGAAGAAGATTGCGTTATCTTAAAAGGGAAAAAACTAATATTAGAGTAATTATAGATATATTTTAAGTAACAAAATGTTTTTGTTAGAATATATTCCAAAAAAAGTAAATTTTTTTGTCACATTTCGAATTTATGTACTGTGGGACACGTTAATGGCCTGGGGATTTTGCAATAACTTTTAAAGTTTTCAAGAAATTGTGTTTTATATCTTTCCGAAATGCTTACTCTGTGCACATTACGATTCCTTTACAATAAAGTTCAAAATGTATTACTAAATGGCCAAATTTGAGCAAAAACTGAAAAAAAATCGATATTTTCCCCTTCTAAATGCACTTGAAAACTTCAGAGCCGTTGCGGCACCTGTTAACGTTATCCTATCAGCCTAATTTTTTGTATGACATAGTTTTACAATCCAAAGAACAATTCTAGAGGGGGGGGGGACGGACAAAATTCGCAACTACGTTTTTTTGGAGCACTCTAATAGTGCTGTAATATTCTACTACTTTTGATTACTCAATACTACTCAATACTTTTCGTTTGGGTACTCAATAATACTCGATACTTTTAACGGTTTTATTTTAAATTAAAAACGAGGAATTTTTCCTTTTTTAAGTTATGTTAGACCAGACATCACACCTCTTTTGAGACATTTTATTTTTTTAGATTGCGTCAATAAATATTTGTAACTTTTTAACTAATATTGCAGTTTTTAAATTATTTTTACATTGATTTGATATTGCTAAGAGTTGCATTTTACATTGTAAAAAAGTAAAAATACACATTACGTACTCGCTTATCTAAGTGATATTTCGTGGCAGTCAGTGGTGATGCTTTCACTTATTCTTCCACTTAGATTTAACATAAAAGTGTCCTAGGCTGCCTCGTCGATGTGCTCTCGCTTAGAATTTAAGTCACAATATCATTAGGACAAATTAAAATTTCACTTGTGGAGTTCTAAGTGAAGTTAATGAGACTGCAATATAGATTACAATCCTATTTGCGTTTGTAAGTTAAAGTACCATGTCTTCCCTTTTTGTTATAGAAAAAATATATTTTTTTTATATTTATTTTAAAATTATCCAAGTTTATTTAAAAATGATTATCAAATAATAAACATGTATTATAGTTAATTCAATAAAAATATAATTAAACAATTTTAACGAAGATAAATGAAATAAATCTTAATTTTCTTTTGAAACTTTCGGCCTTTACAGATCCTGTAAACAATCAAGAGGAAGTTATCAGTATTAAAATAGTTATCAGTATTAAAACTAGAATGTATGAAATAAATTTACCCCAATTTTTAAATCCGTTTCTGCCATTTCAGATCACCACAATTATTTAAAATTTTTTACAATAAAATAACTTTTTTAACAAAACACAACTTCACTTACAAAAGATCAAATTTAAACTGAAACAAAAAGATTCTTCTTTTCATAAAACGGTACTTTAGTTCTGTCTTTTAAAGAAATAAAAACAAAAACAACATGAAAAAGGCAGCTAGCTCTCTCCTTAAATCGTAATCTATGTTATAATTAAAGTGCATGATATGTTGGATTACGCATACATTGCACTCTAAGTACTTAGATTGCTCGCTTAGAACGTCATACTGATGTCATCGAATATTATCTATGTAAGTACTTTGTTTCATTTACCGCTGGGAATTACAAACAGAGTAAATGCTGATGTTGACATTTCATTCAA